TGTGTGTGTGTGTGTGTGTGTGTGTGTGTGTGTGTGTGTGTGTGTGTAGGGGGTACGAAGGTGACCTAGTTTTCTGGAAAGAGTACAGAGGAGCCCTTATAAGGGAGGGGGAGTCTGCTCCAGGGGATGTGGAGGTTCCTTTTTCCAAACCCCCAGGTGCCTGGGCCAAAGCTAGGAGCCTTCCCAAGTACCCAGAGAGTGAGGGTACTCCAACATCTTCAGAGCGCCCTGCTCCCCATATCTAACTCAATATAGAATGCACTGTGGCTGAAGAATTATCGTATTTTCCTGTAATGATTTAAAAATGTTAAATACTTAAGAGTTTTTTTGTCAGGAGAACAAATCTATTTTGTTTTGGGTCATGCTCAATCTGATTACTAGGAACTAACAGGCCTTTTCTGGAGGAGGCTATTTTATATAAGAAACTCTGAATATTTGAAATAGCATCTTCAACAGCTCTCAACCTTTTTAATGTTTTATCACAAAATCCAGACATGTAAGCATAACTCTTCATTCTTATTTTACAGAGTCAGGGAGTCTACAAGCATAAATCCTAAAAATGCAAGGGGGGGGTTCAGCATAATTACAATGGAGAGAAAACAAAGGTCAGGTTTACATTGTCATTGTGCCACTGTGATTCATCCAAAGGAAAATGTACACTGGCTGTAGGTTTCAGACTTCAGTCGGTCTGGTTAGTTTCCATGGTCCACAGCCTTGAGATCTCCTCTCTGGAGAGCATTAACCCGAACCCTGCTGTAACTGCATTAGGTAGGAAAGATCGTGTCTACACTAGGGCAGTCACACCTGATGAAAACAGCCCTTTAACTGCCTGCTCTTTTCATCTAAACCAAACTAAAACTTTAAAAACAGGTCAACTACAAGAAATACTACATCTTTGGAAAGCCCAAACCCTTTTCTTCATATTCCGAGTGGTTAAGCTACCCAAGTAAAACAAACCATTTACGTTCCTGGTGAGCTGTGTTTGATTTCAGGAACTTTCAAGATTTGTGTATTTCCTCCTCAGAATCGGCAGAAATAAAAATTTTAGGCACATGAGTCAAACTGAGGTGAAAATAAGAGCTAAAAGTCCAACAATGGGGGCTGGTGAGATGGCTCAGTGGTTAAGAGCACTGACTGCTCCTCCAGAGGACCTGGGTTCAATTCCCAGCACCCACATGGCAGCTCGCAGCTGTCTGTAAATCCAGTTCAAGAGAATCTGACATCATTATACCAATGTGCATGAAATAAAGTTAAATAAAGTTTAAAAAAAAAGTCCAACAATGACAGTCAAATATTCCCTTCTCAGCAGCGACTGCATCCCAAACTATAATAACATAAACAGAACCTCTTTCAAGCTTACAGAAAGAATATTTACAAGCAGAGACATGGGTTTTTCTAATATTTGCAATCAGTTTCATATACAATTTATTGGATTTATATATTACATTTTTGACTTTTCCTCTGATATTGAAAAAAATTAATCTTACATTTTTATATATAAAATAGTATTCAATTATTTAAAAATCCATACAAATGATGTTTGTCACCATTACTTGTTTAAGCCCTCATCAGTGTATTTCCTCTACTGTGTTTTTACTTCTGTAAACAAATTCTTGTCTCATGAGCAGTGCTGGCCAGAGACGCACTCAGCCGTGGACCTGGTGTGTCTACACGTGCTGGGACATACCAGTCACCAAGGCTCGGAGCTGCCTCACAACTGTCTCTATCAGCTTCTGCCTGTCTCGGTCGTTCTTCCGGAACTGGGCGAATATATTATTCTTCTTGCTGGTGTCTTTCATCCTACAAACACAGACAGACATAAATGCTGAAAAATAAAAGCTGCTGCCAATGAGTTCTCTCTCTCTCTTTCTCTCTTCCCCTCTCTCTCTCTCTTTCTCTCTTCTTTTTTAACATGCTCTGCCTTATCCAACACCAACTCAGTGCTTGAAATGAAAACCTGTGCTATCAAACTTATGAGCACAGAAACCACACGGAGATAGAAAGTGATTGCTCTTGCACTAGCACACATATCTAAGACACATGCAGCTTTCAAACACTATCTTGTTTTCCAATATCTATCAGAATGCCCTACACGGGCTCTAGGACACATTCACAGCAAGACCAAGTGAGAACAGAATTAGGACATTTTAAAATGCAATGTTTTTGCCTCAGTAGCATTTCATGACATTATACAATCACTTTATATAAATTGTGAATAGTTTCTTACATCCTTTCAAATCAAATAACCACAGATAATTTGAAATTTGGGAAAACAACAGACACTATTAACACAAAACTGTACATTTTAATAGTACATTTTAAACAAGCTAAGGCTGAGTGCAGAAAAAGTCTGACACATAATGCAGGAAAAGGAGCACTGTGTTTAGCTGTCTCACTTTTTACAATATCATTTTCTCAAATCACGTATTTCTCTACCTGCAAAGAATCCAAGACTTAGATACTACTGAGGCAAACACTGCATTCCGTGGCCCTATTTTATTTTATTTTTAAGGAGCCCCATTTTCTCTCTAGTTGAGAATGGACTCAGGCCCTAGCACAAAGCACTCAACAACTGTGTTAAATATTCCAGGCTTCCAGTAACATATTTATAAAGCAAACTGAGCCTGCGATGTTTTAAATACATTAGGAAGAAAGAACGTTTTTCTCACATACATAATCAAAATAATTCTGAAAGGCAAGAAAGAGACATCTTTTGTTCATCAAAAGGATTGAACTTCTCTCCCCCCACCATCGTCCCTCCATGTTTCACTCACGATCCTCACTACAGCCTCAGCTCCCCCAAATGCATGATCTCCCGCCTCAGGGTTGACACACGCCTCATATCTGGCTGTACTGACTTTTTAAAAACTCCATTGAGATATTTTTGTTTTTAGAGAAATTTCTAGTTATCACGCAATCAAACCCTGTGTAAAATGCTACCTAAAATAAAAACCAAAACAACTTTTGGGAACATACTCACTTCTCCAAAAGCGTAAGGGCTGTGTGAGGATTCACACGAAGGTACTTGGAGGCTGGCTGTCCATAGTCAGCGAGGTAAGTGGACCAATCCCAAACCATAAACAAGTCAAGGAGCTGAGGAAAAGAGTGAAAACTTCATGTCAGCTTTTGGACAGCTACCCACAAATAAATAAAGAATATGCTATTCTCGTGTCCACATGATTTTCTTTTTACAATAAAACAAGGAAATTCATTTTAAGAACATTACTAGTATACTTCACAAGCAAAATCATATTCTTATTTTTTATTTTGGAATTGCTAAAATTGTCAGCGGCTGCTGCTCTAACGATTTATGACGTTTCCATGTAACTGGATGGCACACTCTCACAATCATGCTCGCACCTGTACTGATGCTCACAGCTTTTGTCTGTGTACTACCCGACTCAGGCGGCAAGGCCGTGCCACTGTGTGCAGAATTGGAAAGAAGAACTGTGTTTACCTTTCAAAGAAGCTGTTTGCAGCCTGACTTTCCTAAAGTAATTTAGAGCAAAAGCTCAGAAAATCTCAGGGAAGTACATCACACAACCTCTGCTGGGTTCTCCCCGCTGAGAGAGCGCAGTACCATGCTGGAATCTGGGCTTCGGGATTCAGCTTGTTAGCTCCAGCCAATCATTTTGTGTAAACAAACAACAACAACAAAAGACATTCTCTGTTTTCCATAGTGTGTCTCAAAACTGACAATTTGCTTTATAAACTCCATTTAGAATCATTGTCAAATATTGTTATAATCTTTTAAAAGCAACGCCAGGCCTAACCCAAAGCATCCAATCCTTAACCACCTTTAAAGGCCCTAATCCCTTTAAGCCGGTTAAAGCCCACTTCCTATTCTCTCCATCTGAACTGTTTCAGGAAGCTGGATGCTTTACTTAACTATCTTCTCAGTTTTTTATATTCTTCTAAAAACACACTTCATAAATAAGGGTTCTCTTGGTTTTGCTTTCACATGAAGGAAGCACTTATATTTACTTACAGGATGTGTGCGTGGAACCAGTAACTAGAAGAGGAATAAAAACATTTAAGGTAATTAAAGTCACCAAAAAAAAAATTCTTGGGAAAGTGAGGGGCTGTTTGACTCTTTTATTTTCTCCATCAGTTTGCAACGCCCTCAGACGCTTGTAAAAGGTGGGAAGTGCAATAATGAAAATATTAACGACTAACGGTTGCTCTGTTTCTTTTTAGACAACAGAACATTCTCACAACAAAAAATGAAACACTGTTATAGAAACTCGAATAAAATAATAGAAAAGGGTACTGTCTGATAATAAAACGAGAATGTATGCATGACTTTTCATTGTTGTTTGGTAACACATTTTCCCAAGGAACATGAATTTCATATACTCGGATGATGATAATGGGATTGAGAGACTATCATCTACAATGGGTTTAAGAACCATAAAACAGCGATTTTCTTTGGATTGGTAATAATACTTATGAGAGGAATTATAGGAAAAATAATAAGGGTGAGCAAAAAGCCATGCACAGAGATAGTAAGCGCCAACATTTTTATTAGGTTACAGAAAAAATTAAAATAGTCTACTCAATATCAAGAAACATGTGCCTAGTGTGCACGAGGTCTAGGGTCAATGCCCAGCACCAAAAGGGAAAAAAGATAAACAGCTAACAGTAAGGTAGAACATACAATGACTATCACATGCTTCATGAAAGCATTTACATAAAATTCAAATGGCTTAGGAAGATGGTTATAATGCATATTGCTACTTAATTACAGAAAACCCCATAAATGGAAGAAAATTTGAAAATAGTGGGGTTACAAATAACTTATCTTCTTTGTTGTCCTAATATTCTACAGTAAGCATGCTTTAATGCTAGAACTAAAATAGCATCATACTTCTGTTAAAATATTAGCAGTCTCTACACAGTGTCAGCAGCAGTCTCACTGTGAAGGCTCCTCTGTCTGGTCTATGTGTGATTCTCCATGTGAATGGGGTCATTCCCACAGAATTTCTGCAGAAAGTAACCACTACATACTGGCTGTGACATGCCTTTCTTCAATGGCATTAGCAAGTGACCTTGTCTGTCAACAAGGCTTCTTCTCTCTTAGGCTGAACTACCACCTCCAGGTGGGGAGAAAGAGCCCATCTACTGAACCAACTACCTACAGCTGTGACAACCATGGCCCTTTTCCAACAAAGTCTTTCCTAAATAGAAATACTGTGATTATAATTTGTACACAAGACCAGACATCATGCGCAGATATTCACTGCAAATCACTATGATTATAGAAAGTATAAAATTTAATGTACCTACCAGGTTCTAATCTATATACTTCACATCAACATTAAATATTTTATAAAACATGTATCATGTGTAATTTGTAGATATTTATGGAAACCTGTGGTTAAAGTTTAAGGAACTCAACACCAATGCCAGATATCTAGATAAAATTTACTTAATCATTCATCAAATGTTTATGGCCCACCTACAGTGTGCTACAAACCTGATATTAGACACAGAAGACAGTATAAGCACTAGACACCGTCCCTTTCCTCAAGCAGTGAACGTTATTGAGTGGTAATAAATTAACAAAGAAACAGTTATATTAAAAAATTATTCACACAAACCCTAGTAATGTGAACTCTATTAACATAGGAGGAAACCATTGTCAGTTTAATATGTAAAAAGGTGGGAACCACGACTGCCTGCTAATCTCTTGCCATCACTCTCGGTTCCTGAATAAATGGTTGTCCACGGAGCAGCACTTCAGAGTCTATGTCTTAAAGGAAAATGGGTATAGATAAGGAGGAAGAATGGAGCCAGAAGGCATGCTGATTTCATACTCAAATCTTTCTTTCCATGTGCATATGGATTTTTCATACCCATAATGCTAGACTAAGTAAACACAAAATAACAACAACAACAAAACACCTTGACAGTGCTGGCAACTGTCCTCCATCATCTCCCCCAGGCTTCACTGGGCTATTGGTAGAGCAGGTGGATTCTCTCACGGTCTCATCAGAGCAGTAGATACAATCATTGAGAAAATGATCTTCCCCGAGAAAGCAGTTCTAGTATTCTGACCAACCACTTCATCCCTCACATCAAGTCCACTTTTACCTGTTTGTTTCATTTATTTTTAAGGCATCATCTCAACATGTAGCCTTGGCTGACTTGAAACTTGCTATGTAGATCACTCTGGTTTGAACAGATTAATCCACCTCTGGGATTCAAGGCCTTGCCTCACCATGCCTGGCCCTTTTAAAAATACATCTCTACTGAAATGAAAGGATAACACAAGCCCAGGACTTTATGCCAGGGTCCCACAGGTTTTCACACAGCCGGTTCTGACTGGAACAGTATGACTCCTGGGGATGTTCTGCAGTCAGAATATGATGATAAGGGGAGGGAGGTGGAGGGCTTGTCGGGAAACACCGGTACTCAGCTTCACTCCACATCCTGCATTGCCCTGGGGACTGCCCCTTCGAGCTGTCCAAGTTTCCCAGGATGCTGCACTGTTAATACTAAAGCCCCCATTGCAGACAACATCTGTCTGTTTCAAGTTTTGGTCCCTTCAGAAGGCAGTGAACAAACAATAAGTTTGTAGTAATCACATAAAATGCTTTAGCCTCAGTCAGGCAGTGGTGGCTCACACCTTTAATCCCAGCACTCGGGAGGCAGAGGCAGGTGGATCTCTGTGAGTTCCAGGCCAGCCTGGTATACAAGAGCTAGTGCAAAATACTGTCTCGAAAAACCAAATAAAATAAAAAAAATTAAATTTAAAAAAATGCTTTAGTCTTGTAAAAACAAAACAGTAAGACATGGTCTCAACAGGTGAATTTATTAGGTAACACAGATACACAGAGTTCAAAGATAGACGGAACATGAACAAAAACAAAATATCATCACATTATCCAAAAGCAACTTCACAAAATCTTATTAAAGGATTAAGTAGGGCACACAATAATGAGACTTGGTATTAAGTTCTGTAAGTGGGTTTGTCCCAATAGCCAAGTAAAACGAATCTTCAAGTTTTTTGAGAAGTATGGATCACACAAAAGCAAGCAGCAAAACAGTGATGCTTCCATTCCATCTCATTACGGCCTAAAAGAGCACTTGAAATTAGTACCCCTCTCTTAGTAAGGACCCAGTTCCCCTCCAGAACAACTGTTAACACATCAAGGGGATTTATGCCAGTATCTGTAAGTTCTAAGTTGTACTTCCCTAGTGCTTCCTGTGTGTTCAGCGAACAAGAAGACCAACTTAAGGAATGAAATGGTAGCATGGGTAGCCCCATTTTTATGCTCAAAAAGTTGAATCACTTCAGAATCACTCAGGAATTCTTTATGCTGGTCCATTTAGCTGGCTGGCAGTTTCCCACCCTATAGACTGGTTCTGAATCTGCAGATTTTGGGGGTCTCAAATCTGTTGAGATTATTTATGCAAATGACACAGTGAATGTGGGCAGACTAAACCATTCTGTGGACCTCTGAAGAGTGCCTTTTGCCTCTGTAAAACTGAACCCACAGTGTTGGTTCATTTTCCCTTGAATCCAGTTTAGTTTTGTTTTGTGTCTTTCAGATTTTGCTTTTGAAGCATCTCAGGGGCAGTGACCCAAGACAGAAGAAAAATAAAGCCAAGCCAAGCTCAAGAGAGAAGCAACTGGGGACACCAGGTTTGCTTTTGTGAATGCTGACCTCGGGGCTCAGGGGCAGCCTTAGTCCCCCAAATTCCCTTTTCCAAACACTAAATCCACCTGGGACTTCAGGGTCGCTTTGCAAATTCCAAAAGTAAACCAGAAGATAGTTTTTCCTTAGCCTTCAAGAAACAAAGCTGATGCAAGGTCCCTAGTGCGCCTCAGAGACTTAAGGACAGCAAAACTCCTAAGCCCAGGACAACGCCGAGGCCGAAACACTTGCCCTTCAAACAAATCCTCCATAATTGGCTACTGGGAATTGAAGAAGAAAGATCTTATTGCCCTTTCCTGGAGAATACTTGTCTTTTCCAGGCAATGGCATCAAATGAGCACCATCTGCTTTCTCAAGCATAGACTTTCCCCTTTCTGTGGAAGCTGAAGGGAGAATTTTAGATAAGCCAATATGGACTTAGTCAAACTCCAT